TTTGCTTTAATGATGGCCCAAATGGAAGGAGGTTGTCCTGTTGATTACAACACCATTACAGATCTTTTTCTTCAGGCCTGTTCACCATCTTTATTACATTTTCTCATTAGAATCTATAATATGAAGTTAAATTACCTTTTCTCGTGCAAGTGAGGATCGATATTAGAAACCAATTTTGAATGCCGTTTATTCCATCTCTTCAGAGGAACTTGATACGGGAGGCAACAGCTTTTCTCTTGGATGTTCTTAAGCCCAATTTGCCAGAACATGCTCATCTCCAAACTAAGGTTAAATTTTGCTGATTCTAATGAACTACTATTTGGCCGTCAAAGATGAGCTGTAAACACAAATTTCTTATTTTTTCACAGGTCCTTGAAATCAACCTTGTAACATTCCCTAATGTTGCTGATGCCATATTAGCTAATGGTATGTTCAGTCACTATGATCGGCCTCGGATTGCTCAACTTTGTGAGAAAGCAGGTCTTTATGTCCGAGCCCTTCAGGTTGGCTAATATACCGAAATTTGTATGCTATCCCTGCGAAGCTGTATTACTTGCTTGATTAAACTTTGTTCTTTCTGCAGCATTACAGTGAATTGCCAGATATCAAACGTGTCATTGTGAATACTCATGCAATAGAGCCACAGGTTTGTCTTGCTGGACTTGTGTACTTTGTGGCATTTAGCAGGAACCGTACCCAACTAGCTTGCTTTTTTCAGTCTCTTGTAGAATTTTTTGGGACTCTATCACGGGAATGGGGATTGGAGTGCATGAAGGATCTTTTACTGGTCAATTTGAGAGGAAACCTTCAGATAATTGTTCAGGTAACAAATACACTTCGATGTAAATGGGTTATTTGAAATTCAGAGTTGAACTAATTCAGACAGAAGGTCATTAATTCTTGGCTATCACCATATTTCGTTCTGCTGGCGACTGATAGTACTGTATGGGTTGTAGGTTGCCAAGGAATATTGTGAGCAGCTGGGTGTTGAATCATGTATTAAACTTTTTGAGCAATTTAAGTCATATGAAGGCCTTTACTTCTTTTTGGGGTCGTATTTGAGCTCTAGGTAATGTGTGTAGATGTTCCAGTGGATGGAAAAGATGATACCTCTAATTTTGTGCTGCGTACTTGCATTTACTAACTCTCAACATCACAGTGAGGATCCTGACATACACTTTAAGTACATTGAGGCGGCTGCAAAGACGGGACAAATTAAGGAGGTTGAGCGTGTCACAAGGGAATCAAATTTCTATGATGCTGAAAAAACCAAGAATTTTCTAATGGAAGCAAAGCTTCCTGATGCAAGGCCATTGATCAATGTGTGCGATCGCTTTGGATTTGTTCCGGATCTCACTCACTACCTCTATACCAACAACATGCTTCGGTATATTGAAGGTTATGTTCAGAAGGTATGGTTTTTCTGAAGGAGTTAGTTTATATTTCATCTATTAGGGTTTGAAAGGGGCGGTATATGTGAGGGTTTATGTGGTATTGTAGGTCAATCCTGGGAATGCTCCATTAGTTGTGGGACAGCTTCTTGATGATGAGTGCCCTGAGGATTTCATCAAAGGTTTGATCCTTTCAGTCCGATCTCTGCTTCCGGTTGAGCCTCTTGTGGATGAGTGTGAAAAGAGGTTGGTTCTCTCTTCGTTTAGTTGTGCTTTATGTTTATTCCGTTCGTTTGGAATCCTTATATTATTTACTTGTGGATTACAGGAATAGACTTCGGTTACTAACTCAGTTTTTGGAGCATCTTGTGAGTGAAGGAAGCCAAGATGTCCATGTCCATAATGCATTGGGCAAGATTATTATAGACAGCAATAACAACCCGGAGCACTTCCTGACCACCAACCCGTATTATGATTCACGTGTTGTGGGGAAATACTGTGAGAAGCGTGATCCCACGCTTGCTGTTGTTGCATACCGCAGAGGACAATGTGATGACGAACTTATTAATGTAACAAACAGGAACTCTCTGTTTAAGTTGCAAGCGAGGTACTTGACTTTTGCAGTTTATTGTTCTGTACTCCGTTATCTAAAATCATGCAACACTTACCTTTTTAAAATTTTCCTAAAAGAGGTAACATTTTTATAAAGTCCAGATTTACCTCTTCGCCCATTAATGATTCTTGCTTGATAGTTATGACTTCGATGCTAGTCAATATGTTTTTACGATTTTGTTCTTATCAAGTGACGTTTTAGATATTTGATCTATACTAAACTATGTGCCAAGTCAAACATTTTTTTTGGAACGGGAGAGTATAACATATATATTGAAAATACCAACTAATGTTTTATCTTATTTTGTATTAGATATGTTGTGGAGAGGATGGATGGTGATCTTTGGGAGAAGGTTCTTAACCCAGAGAATGAATATAGAAGGCAACTCATTGATCAAGTTGTCTCTACTGCTCTGCCTGAGAGCAAGAGCCCTGAGCAGGTTTCTGCTGCTGTTAAAGCTTTCATGACTGCTGATCTTCCCCATGAACTAATTGAGCTCCTTGAGAAAATTGTCCTCCAAAACTCTGCTTTTAGTGGGAATTTCAATCTGCAAAACCTGCTTATCTTGACTGCCATTAAGGCGGACCCATCACGAGTTATGGACTACATCAACAGATTAGACAACTTTGATGGACCTGCTGTTGGAGAGGTTGCTGTAGAAGCACAACTTTATGAAGAAGCATTTGCAATATTCAAGAAGTTCAACTTAAATGTTCAAGCAGTCAATGTTTTGTTGGATAATATCCAAAGTATTCCACGGGCTGTTGAGTTTGCATTCCGAGTCGAAGAAGATGCTGTGTGGAGCCAGGTGGCTAAAGCTCAACTCAGAGATGGACTAGTGAGTGATGCAATAGAGTCATTCATCCGTGCTGATGATGCTACTCAATTCTTGGATGTTATTCGTGCTTCTGAGGATACAGAATGTTACCATGATTTGGTGAAGTATCTCCTGATGGTTAGAGGGAAGACCAAGGAGCCAAAGGTGGACAGTGAGCTTATCTATGCGTATGCAAAAATCGACAGGTTGAGTGACATTGAGGAATTTATCCTCATGCCAAATGTTGCTAACCTACATAATGTTGGTGATCGTTTGTTTGATGAAGCTTTGTATGAGGCTGCCAAGATCATATACTCCTTCATCTCCAACTGGGCTAAGCTGGCAGTCACACTCGTGAGACTGCAACAGTTTCAAGGGGCTGTTGATGCTGCTCGTAAAGCAAATAGTGCAAAGACATGGAAAGAAGTTTGCTTCGCTTGCGTTGATGCTGAGGAGTTCCGCTTAGCTCAAATATGCGGTCTCAATATTATTGTGCAGGTGACGGTTTTTAATCTTCTAATGTCTAGTGGATGGTGGATACTAATTATTGGCTTTAATTCCTAGTGGGTATAAGTGTGCTGTCTATGGTCTTTTTTTCTTTTCTATTAGTGTTTGAAGTGTTTTCTGAAATTTGTAGGTGGATGATCTGGAAGAGGTGAGCGAATACTACCAAAATAGAGGATGCTTCAATGAGCTGATATCTCTTATGGAGAGTGGTTTAGGGTTGGAACGGGCTCATATGGGCATCTTCACCGAGTTGGGTGTCCTCTACGCTAGATACCGTCATGAGAAGTTGATGGAGCATATTAAACTCTTCTCGACCCGTCTTAACATTCCAAAGTTAATCCGTGCTTGTGACGAGCAACAACACTGGAAGGAACTTACCTATTTGTATATTCAATATGATGAGTTTGACAACGCTGCCTCGACTGTCATGAATCATTCTCCAGAAGCTTGGGATCATATGCAATTTAAAGATATTGCAGTTAAAGTGGCAAATGTTGAGCTCTACTACAAGGCGGTTCACTTCTATTTACAAGAACATCCCGACCTTATCAATGATGTTCTCAATGTCCTTGCACTACGTGTTGACCACACACGTGTGGTGGACATAATGCGTAAGGTTCGTACTACACCTTAAGAAATTTTCTTTTATTTCCCAACCACTACACCCATGGAAACTTGAGATCCTTCTTTATTTTGTTCCGACTTCATAAATTACAGGCGGGCCAACTTCCTCTTGTGAAACCATACATGGTTGCAGTTCAGAGCAATAATGTATCTGCTGTAAACGAGGCACTGAATGAAATATACGTCGAGGAGGAAGACTACGATAGGTTGCGTGAATCTATTGATTTGCATGATAACTTTGACCAGATTGGCCTTGCACAGAAGGTGGGGTCAATTGCTTATTTATTTATTTATTATTTTGTTGTGTGTCGGCAGTTTTCTCATCTGTAGACTGCAATTTATATTTCATTTGTTGTGGCAGATTGAGAAACACGAGCTTCTTGAGATGAGGCGTGTGGCTGCATATATTTACAAGAAGGCCGGTAGATGGAAGCAGTCTATTGCATTGTCTAAGAAAGACAAGGTTTACAAAGATGCAATGGAGACTGCCTCACAATCTGGGGATCGTGAGCTTGCTGAAGAGTTGCTTGTTTATTTCATCGACCAGGTAGGAAATATATTTAATACTTGCATGCTCTGCTTTCTATTATGTGATGGAGGGAAATTTGAAAGTGTTTTTTGCTCTTCCTACTTGTTACAACATTTTTGATATTGAAAAATGTCTTTCTGCAGGGAAAGAAGGAATGCTTTGCTTCGTGTCTCTTTGTTTGTTATGATTTGATTCGTCCAGATGTTGCTCTTGAGCTAGCCTGGTTGAACCACATGATTGACTTTGCCTTCCCGTATCTGCTTCAGGTTAGCTCTCCACATTGTGTATTTTCTTCTTTTTTTCCCTTTCTGAATTCATGGTTTAAATCTCTTTGTTTGTTTGTTTGTTTTGTTGCAGTTTATCCGTGAATATACTGGTAAGGTTGATGAACTAATCAAGGACAAGATAGAATCAATCAAGGAAAATAAGGCCAAGGAGAACGAGGAGCAGGATGTCATTAAACAGCAGGTTTTTGCTTCTTTCACTCTGAACTTTCTGCTTGCTCTTTCGATAATTTGGGAATTAAAACATGGTTTTGTTTTTCTTTTTGCAGAATATGTATGCCCAACTGCTCCCACTTGCTCTACCTGCTCCACCGGGTATGGGTGGTGGTCAAATGGGTGGCGGATTTGCTCCACCACCACCCATGGGTGGAATGGGAATGCCGCCAATGCCCCCGTTTGGAATGCCACCAATGGGTTCATATTGACAGAAGTGTTACCTTTAGTGAATAGTGGTGGTTGCTTCTGGGGGAAATGCTTTACCTTTTTTTTTGAAGAAAGAGTTGGTTGTTTGTTTTGGGGGTGAATTTGGTGTTTTCTATCATTATCTAGTTGTGTGGATATGTTTTCCTTGTAATATTCTTTTGGGTAGACGGAGATGAGACATATTTTTTGCAGCTGGCAGGGCAGCAAAATGAGAGTATAATGTGTAATGTGTACCAAAACAAAGGGGGTTGATAGGATGGATATGCAACTTGTTATACTGGTTTCAACTTGTGTTTCTTTGTTTTTGAATATTGGCTTCTTTTAGGTAATCGTAGTCTTTTTAATTGTACAACTCAGGTTTATATGGTTCTTTAAGGATCAGTTACATGATGGGTTTGGATTTTTTCTCTTTTGAAATCTTTTAGTACCACGTGGTAACCTTTGATTGGTGATGTAGTTATCATTCTATGACCCTTTTTTAATGTTTTCCGTTCTTTATTTACCAAAATGTCATTATATTGTTTAACATCTTGTCATTTAAATTATGTATAAACATGATGGTGGAATTTACTATTATTATTATTAATATTGTTTAAAACAATCATCAGCTCAACCTTTTAACTCCTTTTTTATTTCTAACGTCAAGAATCGATCTTTTTTAAACTAAGATTTGATGTTACACAAATCACTTGTATACATTTGATATTTATCTTGTAAGTGATTTATTTTGTGCAAATTATCCACTAGTTTTAACTTGGAAAAGTTAGAAATTATTCTTAAGTATAAGGTTTGTTAACTACCATAAAAGACATTGGAACTTCGAGAATGGTCTCAAGAAAAGAGGATACAACTACAATCAGTTGGGTTTCGATGAGAATGAGAACTATAATAATAAGAGTAAGAAGGGATCTCCACCCATGAATCAATCTTACTTGAATGTTCCACTAGATCAATTCCCTTCTAAAACGCAATTCATGAGTTGTTTTGAGATTAAAAGTGACCATGGGTTCAAAAATTTTTACACTTTTCAACTTTACTCCTATTCTCACACGATCCTTCATCTAGCTACAATTGGATAAAACTATCTAAATGTCACTTTCATATCTATCTTCCCACATCTTTATATTTTTTTGCTATTTTTATTTGTTTGTCAAAATCCTTCCACGTCAAAATATCCCCCTCTCTTCCAACAAAGCCACTGATTAGAAATAATTCTTCGTCTTCCGTGACAACCATTCCATAAATAATTCAATAGGGTTTTTTCCACGCGAATTGGTAAAAGACCTGACATTAGGCTTGTTAAACTGGTCAGTCTAGATCGTCTTAGGGTGTTTTCCAAGCGGCTTGGTTAAAAACCGGTTACAAGGTCAGTTTGGGATATGTTATTGGGGTGGGGTGGGGGAGGGGGGTGGGTTTGGATACCACAAAGGTCCCAAAAACAAATAAAGTAATGAACTTTATTCAACAATAATCAAGTATGTGATGCCAACCAACAACTAATGCGGAAAACAAAATAGGATTGAAAGCGCAATGAACAATCGACTAAAGAATTTGAGAACACACAAAGCACAAAGATTTACGTAGTTTCACCACTAGTATGGTGATGTACATCCACAGTGAAGAGGAGGAACTTTTATTGATGAAGAACACCCCAACACCAAAGAGAAATTACAAATTGAACACTAAATTGTGTATAATTGATAACTATATTTTTAGAGTTATTACATACATTTTATTTAATATTATTTTATAAATTTTGGCCATTTTGCTTCTTAACCGTCCATTTTTGGTCTAATATTCACATCTGAGCATAAAGTGTCTACTTGAGCAATTTTGAACCATTTGATGCATTTGCTGAAAAATCAAGAAATTATCTGCAGTGGGATTCAAGAATGCCCACTCCAAAAGTTGAAAGTCAAACTTGTGATGAAGGCATTCTTGGTAGCTGAAAAGGTGGCACGAGAAGTTCTGAAAAACTGATGGGGGAAATTCAAAACTTAATTTTGGCCGGAGGCGAAAGGGAGTAGTACAAAAGCTAGAGGACAAAACGCATTTCTGTTTTACATTATGATGAAAGCTTCCTTTTTGCAAGTGGGAAAGGTGTTCAAATCTTTCCCATGATTGTCTCCTCAAGTCTTTTACCTTTAGTATAAATGGTGAAGTTTGGCATGGAAGTTGTATATACCTTGTTAACTTTTGAGTAGAAACTTAGTCTTGTAAGTTAGGGAGAAGTATTTTCTAGTAGTTAGAAGTTTAGATTTAATTTGCAGCAACCTTTAAAATTCTAGTAATTTATATTTTACAGTATTATAACCCAATGCCTTCGAGAGTGGATACAACTTTGTTCAAGTTAAAATATTTTGGTGTGTCTTCTTGCAGTTTCTTATTTTCTATTTTTTTCTCCTTCTCAATTATTAACTAAGAATCTTTTGAGATGTAGGAGTGAAAAGTACCCAGATTTTATACAAAATGCTCAAGTAGTTTTGTATGTTGAACCTTTATCGTTTTGGTCACTTTTTATTCGATAATGCCCCAATGATACGGACAAGATGATCTTTTGAAAGTGTCTAAAGTCTAGTTCTCAACCTAGAGATGGATAGATAGTAATGACACAAGGTTGGGTGAAGCTAGGGAATTCAAGAAAATTCTATTCACCAAAGAAAGTTAGATTTGCATAGTGAGATGAACTCCAACCCACTTAGGTAGTAGACAAGCTAGTTTGTGTATTAGAAACACTTAGAGTATCTGTCTCTACACATTCCATCGAACCTGAGAAGGTTCACCAGAGGTCATCACTAACAAAACAGTAAAGTTAAACATATGAGATTTTGACTAAGAGGTGTGAGTGTTTGTTGTGATTTGGCCTCTCGAAAGAGAGTGCCTACTCCATACAGTACAGTGAGCACTATTCTGGATCAAGTACTAAACATGAAATTTGGGGAAAGTTCAAACCCTACATCTCATTCTTTAAATCATAAGTATTTTATTAAAGCTGTTTCACAACACCAACTAACTTATTTGCTTCATCTCTAATTCAAACTTGTAAAAGGAAGTTCATGAGAACAATATTGTATTGATTATCTAGCCCTTGTGAATACGATTCTGGTTCTTACCAACTTTATTACTTGAAAATGACGATCATAGTATCCAGTCTACACTTATGCTGTCCATTGTGGGTTGTTTGCTAACCCACTGCTATTACACTTGTTTCACATGTACCGAGTTTGGGCAACACTATTGCGAACTGACGTGATTTTGTTCTCAAACATGCTATTTTGTCATATCATCAATTGATCCACTTTGATGAGAACTTTTGGTTCTGTTTTCGTATTCATTAAAAGGAGAAGAAGTGCATTGAATGATCTCCTTACCTTTTTCTTGAGCGGTGTTCTTGAAGGGGTATAAGAGATCAACCTCTTGATGCTCTTTTCTTGTTTTATCTTCAACAGAGTTTGATGGAGTATCTTCCTTGGGGATCATTAAGGAGGATTCATGGAATGTCATGTGTTTGGAATGTATTACCTCCCTTGTCTTCAGATTCCAAATTCTATATCCCTTAGCTCCATTCCTATATCTAAGCAAATATCCTTGTATGGCATGAGGGTCAAGTTTGTCTTTTCCTGCATTAACCGTCGATGATGGAAGGCGGTCAATGATGTGCACAACTGTAGATAAAGCTCCGGCCTGAAAAATTCGGAAACACATGGTTAACCTCCTACATCTTGCTTTCTCTAGCAAATTCATTCGCTCATTACTCCATTTGATTATGGATAATGTGGTGTAGTGAAATGTCGATGGATCCCTTTTTATTTGCAAAAGGACAGGAATTCATCATTTTTGAATTCTCTACCGTTATCTGATCTCAACATCTTCAACTTCCTTCCGGTTTGAGTTTCCACCAAGACTAACCAATGTTTGAACTTCTCAAACACTTCTAATCTCTATTTCATGATAAAGATCCAAACTTATGAGAATAATCATCAATGAAAGATAGGAAGTACTGACCTCCACTATGGGATTAGTGTTAGCTGGTCCCCAAAAATCCGTGTGTATGTAATCAAGAATTCCCGTTGATTTGTGTTTTCCAACACCAAAAGAGATCTTTATTTGCTTTCCAAAGATGTATTCCTTGCAGAAATCTAACTCCAGAATTCCTTCTCATTGATAAGGCTTCGCTTATGTAGGATCTCCAAGTTTTTCTTCAAAATGTAGTCAAGTCTTAGATGCCATACTTTGGAGGCTTCTAGCTTCTTTACATTGTTTTCACCTACGCATGCACTTGCATCCAACGTTTTTCTATCTAGAAAATAGAGATTATTTGGAGCTTTCGTACCTTTGATTAGGACAAAAGTCCCATTAGAGATCCTCAAAGAGTTGTCTTGCATAATAATCTTGCACCCAAGCTTTGCCAATTGGCCAAGGGAGATGAGAGATTTCATCATGGAGGGAACATATTTACACCTTAAATAGTGCAGATAATGTCATCAAACATTCATCTTGATGTACCAGATCCGAAGATTTTGCACGCCGTGTTGTTTGCCATGAGAATATTGCCTCCTTTTTCTTCAAATGACGAGAAAAACTCCTTCTATGGAGTCATGTGAGAGAATCCCCTGAATCCAAGACCCGTTGATCTTTGATAGTCACACTCTCGGTTGATGCAATTAGAGCATCATCGGGATCATTCACGACAATGGATAAAGATGGCCCCTCCTTGTTGATCTTGCCTTTGAGACTTGGATATTCTTTAATCCAATGTCCGGATTGATGACAATAGTGGCAATTGTCAATCTTCTTGGACTTGCCCTTAAATCCTGGCTTGTGTCACCTTGTGAGAACCCATTCTTTCCATCTCTTACAACTCTTTCACCACATATCAGGGGTGAGTTTGTCAAGTTCGTAGAAAAAAAAAAATGCACCCAGTTTCTTTGAAGTATCACCTTCATCTTCTACTGCCACTTTCCAAAGTCTCCGTCTCCATTCCACCTCTTAATTTGAATATGGATCTCGAGGCTCCATAGGAACCTTTAATATAGGTAGATGAAGTAGTTGACGAAGATTTGCCTGGGTTTTCGTCTTCTTTGTAGATGGCCACCATGATGCTTCAAGTTGTGCTTAAATATGTTCCGCCAAACATCAATAATCAAAACCAAAGCTCTGATACCACCTGTTTGGGTTTTGGACACCACAAAGGTCCCAAAAGTAAAATAAAATAATCAACTTTATTCAACAATAATCAAGTATGTGATGCCAACCAACAACTAATACGAAAAACAAAATAGGATCGTAGCACGACGAATAAGCTACCAAAGAATTTGAGAGCACACAAAGAACAATTATTTATGTGGTTCCACCACTGATATGGTGATATACATCCATAGAGAAGAGTAAGAACTTTTATTGATGAAGA